AACGACTGAGCCACCCAGGTGCCCCTTCACCTCCTATTTTTAAAAATGGCAAAAAAAATTATAGAGAACTTTTCAGAAAAGAGGTTTATGAGGGATTTTGAATGATGTCAAAGCTAGAACTTAAACCAAAGTCTCCATACACCCAAAATTTAAAATTTGTTGATGCTAGTGTTACCCTCTTAAGTTGATTTATTTACAGAAAGGACAGATACTATTTTTAAGAATATGAACAACAAATGTACTGTTATCTGATACATGGCCTGAAACTCATAAGTTCTTTATTTCACACCTGACACAAAATATAGAATTTAAGAAGTCCTCATTTTTATTATTTCTCTGGTTTACTGAAACTCTTAATAATGATAGCTAACACATACGCAATGCTATATATAAGCCAAGCACCATCCCAAGTGTTTTACAAATATTAACCCAAGAATCAGAATTCCACTTCTCATACAGACACAATCCCCTTATTCTTAGGCTTTATTCTGTTAGGACAAAGAATTCTCTACAGACATGAGACTTTAGCAACTAAAATAGCCATCACCAATTAAGAAATACAACTTTTTAATTACCAAATATTTTTCTGCATATGATATGCTCAAACTCCTTTGTTCCTGAATTATTTAAATGTTGGGAGTAACTAAATTTCAGGTAAGAACAGGAACTTGCATAAACTAGCAGAAACACTGCTGCACTCAAAATTCATTCATATATTGAAGTTCAAGGATCTGAGTGCCCAATTCAAAAGTCATGTGTCAGGAAAATGTTCATGGAGTAAAATATTATGGACATTAAACCCATTGCAAAACTTTCAGATTGCTTTACCTCTGTCAATTCCAGAGCTTTATTATAGCCCATTGAGTGCAGAGTTACCCAAAGGTCACGAGGATCTCCTTCTCGATCATTGGCTTCCATTAGATTCAGATCCATAAAGCCCTGTCTTGTTAGTTCATTCTTCTTGGTATCAAAATTGTCTGTTAAAACAACCAAAAGTTTCTTTGTTACATAATTTTTTTTAAGATTGATTTCTTTATTTCAGAGAAAGAGAGAGCAAATGGGGCGAGGGGCAGAGGGAGATGAAGAGAAAGCAGCAGACATCCCGCCAATTACAGACCCCAACGCAGGGCTCCATCCTACGACCCTGAAATCATGACCTAAGCCAAAATTAAGAGTCGGATACTCAACCGACTGAGTCACCCACGTGCCCCCTTACATAATTTTAAAAGTCATACATCTAATAAAAGGCCTATTATATATTATTACTCATAAATATTTATTTTAAAGGATGCCTTCCTTATGAATCCATGAACAATATGAATATGGCTCAAAACATGCTAGTGAGATACTGTTTCAATTTCCCACAACTCAGCACAAAGCACCATCACAGTATATTATTTGGTTTTCAAAAAAATCAGAAGTTATAAATAATGCAAATATATGCCAAAATTAGAAGAAACTGTCATTTTTCTGGGTAAGTTCCAACCTGTTTGCTTATCTAGAGTATATACTGATACATATTTTTAAAAATTAAAGCTTCAGGGGCGCCTGGGTGGCTCAGTCATTAAGCGTCTGCCTTCAGCTCAGGTCATGATCTCAGGGTCCTGGGATCGAGCCCCGCATCGGGCTCCCTGCTC